TATATGTGTGTGTGTGTGTATGTATATATATATTATGTATAACCATTACTTCAACTGCTTCCCTAGCTTACTTTGTGCTTGAATTGAATTTTGGCACTCAACAGCTAGGATTGTAACGAACAGAACTATTATTGTAGGTTAGGGCTGCAATACTTCAAAACTTACCGTGAGTTATTTCGATTTGACACAGAGGGCAGGTTTGCTTGATATGCTTTGTCCATCGAAGGATACAACTCAGACTGAAATAAGCAAGGCGGGAAATAAATTGAAGCACATCCATTACTTTGTATTTGAACTTCAGCAATAGTTTTAAAAATAAGATAAATACATTGGCAGTTTAAGAAATATCGTTCAAAATTTCAAACATGTATGGTGTTACTTTCGAATACATTGAAATTAAACTCACCAGAAGTTGTGGCAACAGGCGTCGACGAAACAGGAGTTATCGTCCGAAATACTGTCAAAGCAGATCGAACATGACTGTACTTCGTAGTTGGTGGCGGTATCACCTGGAGATAGTTCTCTAGAATCGTTATTGAGCTGATCATTCACAGACATGCTATATATACTTTTGAGAAATAGATTCAGTAGCAAACACAGATTAGTCGTGAGAATAGCGTCACCTAGTCCTTTCTGGCTTATGATATAGCTGCGTATCCGATAAAGATATGCTAACTTCTCTGGTTAGCGCTACCATTGATTCCTCGTCTTTGTTCATTGATGTCTCGTATGTCACTCTAGCGAAGTGAATGCATAGCCGCGGATAATATACTAGATATTTTTTTCTTCAAAATTATAAAAATAAAGCATAGCGTTTACTACTTCTAAAAGAGGCGCAACCTAACAACCTCTGAAGGCTCTGAACGGTATACAGATCGACCACAAAAACTCATGCGAAATACGTATTTTCTATTGGCTTATATTAATAGTGATGACCTCGAAATTCGTCAGTTTAATATTTAGTTTCTGTTTAGTTGTATTATTTTTTATGCTTTTTATTTTCCTTATTTGTATTTCATAAAGTGCTTGACTCTCTCTGTGTATGTATGTAGTTATTGTAGTACATAGTACATTTCTGTGGCCTGTTCAAAGTTGCCAGTGTTGTGAGCCCTGGCTGCCTGCTGGCAGTTGGCACGCATTTTATTTATGTGGGACTTGCCATTCGCCACCCGGCCGCTTTTACCTTTCTCATACTGCTAGCACTGTTTGTGGGCTCTTTGTGGGCTCTTTGTGGGCTCCCGCTCATCCGAGGGGAGTGGAACAACGACCAATATAAAATCATAAGAGACGTCAGTGAGGTACATATTCCTTGGCGCCACGGCGCCACCTATCCAATCATACATCGTGATTACTGTGTGTTGCTACAGGTGACGAGCCGATTAACCTGAAAGGCTGAAACTGGATCCGACTCTCGGAGATTCAGATGATAGTTCTGATCACTGTGTGTGCTGCATGTAGTCCTAAATTCGAAAGAAAGTAACCGAATGTTTTCCTGAATTTTTACTTATACTCTTCTTTATAATATACATAGCCTGTTCAATTTAGGAGCTACTTGTTTATCATCAAGTATCTGTAATGGTCAAACCTATCGGTCACTATACAGCTATCATTCGAGTATCAGGGCCTGCATTGAATATAGAACTGGTGCATCGTTGGATTGTTGACTACGTGAGCATTGCCCTGTCGACAAATCAATATATTGCAATCATCTCGCACTATGACCGTGAGCAGATTCAAACGTGCAAATCGACGTACTGAGGACGACGATAGGTAATTCTTAATAAGAGGGAAATGTATAATATGTTGATTCAGTACAACTTAATATAGATTAGCAACTAGCCCTTTGACGTCTACTCTATTTTAGACATCACTACAGAACCGTATAAAGCTGCAGTAGTACAAATCCACTCGAAGAATAATCGGCGTATTGTGAGTAATGATTCAGAACTAGGTGGAATAGCCATCCAACAGTGCTATAGAAACTTCGGAAAAGTGTGTGTGCCTATATCTATACAACATCCCCACACACACACACACACTACTGTTATAACGGTCATCGAGAGTGTATTGATATCTACGAAACTCATCCGTGATAAGCTAATGCATTAAATAGTGAGGCCCTAGGCTGCTGGACAGAGCCAATCTACAACACCAAAAAAGAGTATAGACAACATACAGATACGAATATACGCAACGATATTTTCGCTGATTTGTATTATAGCTTTTGACTGCAAGGGTATGGTTCGCCGTTTAGATACGTAGACATTCACCTACTCAGGTGCGCTAGTACGGGTCAAGAGACGCGGTGAGCGTAGATTTTAGTGTACTGGAAAACATGATGTACATTTGGGTCTTAGACGTGTTACAACGAGATACTGTCAGACGCGAACATCCGAGAGATTACTCGCAGTGTTTCTTCTCGAGACGTTTCACTTCCACAACGCCATTTTCATGTGCTGCTGTATGCCCTTCACCCAATATCTACAAGACTTCTCCGGATGACTTCATATCAATCAATGCTTATTTCAGCGTGCGTTGCCAAGTACATATGGGTTACCAGCTGATTCTACTACCCTGTCTGCACAGCTAGGCTCTGTTCGCCTGTTTGCTTAAGCTACCACGCGCCACATACTAGTGTCAATTAACCGCCAGCTCAATGTGCTGAAGTAATAGGCGACATACGTCGCACTAGTGTACGGGTTGAAACTGTCTTGCAGTCTCTTCCACGATATGTGTGCACTCTCACATGAGTCTCGCTCAAACCTGCAGTTCTTTCGACTGCGTCATGCGTGACAGGGCATCGCCCTGACATTCAAGTAGCTCCACTTCCATGCGCTATTGCTGGACTTTCACATCAGCTGTCTTATCACTGCCACTGTGAGACGCTTGAAGCCACACACCGCACTCGTACATGACTATAAAAGGCCTATAGCCTCTTCCAAGACGTGTGTGCACTGTGTAAGTATACCGTCCAGTCATGCAAAAGTCCAGCAGACAATCATCCTGACATCCAAGCGTCTGCCCTTTCCAGCACTATTACTAGTACTCGAATGCCTTCATCTCTACCACTGCGGCATGCAAGGTCAGGTGCTATGCTTGGTCCGCATCGATTATCTAGCATCTGTATGGGCGGTACGCATTGTTCGACCCTTGATGCCACACAGTTGACACCGTTCCGAAGTCAAGCGTGTCCAATCAGTCACTCTATAGGTGCACGGATGTGTTCTTCGAGCCTCTCGCTAAAGCTGTATGCTGAACAGCTAGATAGCAGAGCGTGGTCCAGTAGACCCCTCCCGTCGCTGTGAAACGTCGAGAAAACTCGCAGTCGGTCTCAGTTCCGCGGCTTACCGCACTCGCACGCGAAACAGAATGCCTTGGTGCATGTCAACACACTCCCAGTGCACGGGCGAGGTTGATATCCCCTATCCTTCCGGTTCGGTACCTTCGCGTTCTCACTGCTGAGGGATTTCTTCCGGGATAGTTTGTTCCGATCAATGGTTGCAGTTGCCTTCTTCCTGTGTGTTGGTTCTGCAGTGTGTCTAACTGCTGTGCCATCTTCTTCACAGCCACTGCTCCGCCCACCCGCACTGTCAATGTCGCTCCCACTACCACTACTACTCGTGTCAGCACCACTGTACTTCTTGCGTTTAAGTTTCTGCACCGTTTTCTGATAGGACCTAGACTCCTTGTACTGGGGGTCAGTGGTGTGTTCGTAGAAGCTGCCCAGGCCCATAGTCGGCTCAGACCGCAACGTTCCCTTATCTTCCACTACTTTCATCGTGGACAGATCGAGGATGTCACTGCGATCGTCATCGGTCTCATACTGTATTGAATAGCATTGATAATGGTGTGTGGGTCTGAGAATCACTCAATATAGTATGCATTTACACGGTATCACCTAGTATGGCTCATACGTCGCATAAAATGAACGATTGCCCAGGGGAAATCTAGTACGCTATGGTTAAAAAATCTGTACATCTAACCACCATCCATTTCAAAATGAAGAAAGTCTAATGAGATTCATGAGTGAGAGCCGCTACGCAGTTGATACAGGAGCAATGATGTGTGTTC